TTTTAGACCTCGTGAGTCTTTTTGGTTGCTATTTACTCTTCATGTGCACCTACGAAGCGTGTTTTTTTCATGTTTCTCCCTCATGTCATTTTGGGAGGGCACCAGTCGTGCCACAGTTTATTAGGTTTGTGCCTTGGGCGGCCGCCTCAGTAGCAGCTGCTGCAGCGCATCGGCGGCAGCAGAATTCTTCGACCCTGGCGGCGGCGGCTGCTGGACGGATCTGCCGCCTTTGCCACTGGCACGGTCCTACCACGCGGCCGCAGCACTGGAGGGTCGGGTCTATGTGTGTCTCAGTTTGCGTCAGCGAGCAACCGTCCTTGGGCGTTCCTTGTAAGTGCTTTGTTTCCGGCGTTTAACCGCCGTGTGGGCTCAACAATCGCTGCGAGCTCGAGTCTGACATTTTTCTCTCAGCTCAAGGTCTTGGGTTTCATCTGAGGTTGGGTGGACTGGATGCGGAGGGCAGGCGCCTGGCCAGTGTGGACTGGCTGGATTTGAGGGAAGGCTGGGCTGGCACAATGTGCGGGTACCACACATGGTTCTGTGGACTTGAGTAAATTCCATATTGAAACCGGTGTCACCAGTTTCCATCGCCCCCAGTCTTTGTACAGTTGCGAGTTGCTTCCAGTTCACTCTGTGACCGGAATTGGGGCCAAGTAGCCAACGTTTCGATTTGGGGCAACTTTGAAAATGACAGTCTCCTCATGAGCCATGCATTTGCTTCCCAGCTGCTGTTCCGGGTGTCTCAGCACCAATACTTGCTTTTGTCCCCTGTGCAAATCACCAAAGCCACCTCTCGTAGGGCACCTTGAAGATCCACACTCAGGTGATCCTTTGTGTGTGTGTGTGTGTTTGCGGCGTGTGGTTCTTGAGTTTCCCCTTACTTTCAACCAACTATCTAAAAGGGATACCCTCATGGCTTCCTTTGAAGCCTTGTTGTTGGGAGGGGGCGCAGTTTTTCTTAACACCGGCACGTTTCTCGAAATGACTGACCCCAACCTGAGCCATCCTAGCCATCCCAAAAGCCAACTTTCCCCTTGAACCGGCAGGGCGATGGCAAGTGGCGCCCAGCCTGCTGAGCCCGCGCACTGCGCTGGCCACCTGCGCGCTGGATGGCCTCTTCGCCATCGGCGGCGTGGACCCGAACGGCGCCTGCGCTCGCTCGGAGCCGCTCGGACGGCGAAAGGTGAACAAATGGTGCGTCGCTGGTTTGCGACATCATCCAAAGTGACGTGGGGGGATATTTTCTGGTTGCGAGTTACTGTAATTTGCCATGGGAGTGATGGGCGTTTGGGGGTGGGGAATCCCTTTCTCTGACTGCATGTTATGGCTCCTAGAAAGGGAGAGAAAGAGAGAGATAGAGATAGAGACAGACAGACAGACAGACAAGCGGCAGGCAGACAGAGACGAAAGAAAAGAAAAGAAAGACAGAACGACCGAAATAAAGAATCTAAGAGTTTAAGCAGACAGAAAGAAAGAAAGAAACACATAAGGAAATCAAATGAAAGAACAGAAACAAAGGAAGAACAAACGAAAAACATAAAATCCGAAAACGAACGACAAGAAAGAAAGAGACGAAGGAAGGAAAGAGGAAGGAAGGAAGGCAAGGAAGAAAGGAAGGAAGGAAGGAAGGCAAGGAAGAAAGAAAGAAAGAAAGAAAGAAAGGAAGGAAGGAAGGCAAGGAAGAAAGGAAGGAAGGAAGGAAATCAAGAAATAAAGAAATAAGGAAATAAGGAAATAAGGAAAGAATAAAGACATCACTAAGGCAATAAAACACCAACTCAAGAACAAAGTCCATACTGAAAGAAAAACACAAACGAAAAACCAAAACCGCAACAAAAAGCGAAACAAAGGGAGGGAGGGAGGGAGGGAGGGAGGGAGGGAGGGAGGGAGGAAGGATGGACAGAGGGACAGAGGAAACATGGACAACGGGAAAGGAAGGGAAGGGACAAACATAAAATCAAAACGTGCGAATATAACAAAGAATAGAAAGGAAGAACAATAAAGAAAGGAAGTATGTAAAAGCCAAGAAAAGAATACATTAAATAAAGAAGTAAAGAAATGAAAGAAGGAAGGACGGAAGGAGGGAAGGACGTAAGCAGGGAAAGGAAGGGAAAGGATAGGAAGGGACGGGAACGGGCAGGGAGAAAAAGAACAGAAAGAAAGAAAGAAAGAACGAAGGAACTACTGCTTGTGTAGGCCTAATATCATCATGACTGGTCCCGATTCATGTCTATGCTTTCTGGTGCTGGTGCTCTGGCCAGTGCTGAAGCGAGGGGGAGGCTGGGCAAGCCGGTATTTGACCCCAGACTTTTGGTTTTTAATTGTATTTTTATATTATTTCTGTCTTCTAAAGATGGATTCTATTGCTTGGTAAAAAGAGTTGATTTTAGGGAAGTAATTAATAGGTGAATGATGGTCTTCTTTAATATCTTTTCCTTAATAATCTTTTTCACCTTTAGAATGCTTTTATTGTGTTTATTTTCTTTCTTTATTACATTTCTTTTTTGTATTTCTTTCATTTGGATCTCTGTCTATTTCTTCTTTTTGGACAACAAACATAAAATAGATGAATTTCTATAATTTGCTTTTATTTGCATTGTTATTCCTTTTTGAGATTTCATTTCCTATCTGATGTTGAATGGTTATAGAACCATGTTATTCATTTTGGTTGCTTGCTGGGCCGAGGTACTTGAATTTGCGCATGGGCTCTTGGATGTCTGTGCCGGCGATGCCCACCTCCAGAGGAGGCAGGGGAAGAGGATCCCCTCGCAAGTGGTGTTTGGATGTATCCTTGAAACCCTGTTGAACAGGGTGGACTGGACTTTGCGGCTTCAAGAAATTCAGACCGACACTCAGGCTCCATAATTGTTTAAATTTGGGAATTGGTGCCTTGAAGTCCTCGCGTCCGAGCTGGTTCATGTTCGCAGGCCTCGCTGTCAGCTCGTTTGGCGGCACTTTCGGCGTGCTGCTGGCCATGGGCGGTCGCAGAGGTGAATTGGTCAGGGGGCGTTGAGTAAAGCGCCAAAAGGAAGCCGGCCATTTTCCAGTAGACACCCAGGTGAAGAACAGCGGCGGATTCTGCGGGAGCAGAAAGGTCCTCGATGGGAAAGGCTGTGAGCGGAAGACCGCAGAAACTAGGTTTGGTTGGGCGTGTCCTGCACCCGGCATTCTTTGTGCGACCCTTGAACGAATTAGCATGGAACCCAGAAGGCGGGTCTTCCAAAAGAAGACACACTCCATAATTCTCAGGAGAGAGACTGTGCTGCCGGTCACATCAACGGGCATGTTTGCAATGGCTGGACGGCCCTTTTCTCGCAGCACCACCCCCCAGATGGAATGAATGCTGGTGGACGGTAGAGCATTTTTTTATTTATTTATAAACTTAACGTTTGTTGATACAACATTTAGGGGCCTTGTGTTGTGCCATGATGGTGGATCCATCAACTGGGGATGCTAGACAATGAGGGCTGGAGTTTTGACCATGGCACATGTGCAAAGGTGAAACGGAAACCCGTTTCGGGGGTCCGAAGCGCGTCGTAAAATGGAGGACCCCCAAAATGGTTGGCTTTTCTAGGGGTTTCCCTGTAACACCACCCCAAGAGTGAACACCCTCAGGGGGGGCACACACACACAACAAACTCAGCGTCTAAATTCTCTAAATGGTTTTCCCTTTCCCCAGCCAAGCCAAAAGGCTTAAGCATAAGCATCTTAAGCCTAAAGAAACAGGTGCTTAAGCACCGCCCATTTGGCCAGGTGCGGTGCTCAGCGCCGTGGAGCGCTTCATGCCCCGCAGCGGCCAGTGGTCCCCGCTGGCGCCGCTGACCTGCGCCCGGAGCGCCTGCGCTGCGGCGCCGCTGGAGGACTCCCTGCGCCACGGCCGGGACGGCCGGGGCCGGGACGGCCGGGACGGGGTGAGGGGATGGTGAGGGGAGGTATGAGAATGCCTTGCAAACAGAAAAGATGTGCTGGCTTGATTTATGGTCGGGATCGGCGTGGTCGTTTTTTGAGCTGATTCGACATTTTACTAAGGAACCGCTGAGGCATTCTTGGTGAGGGTACCTTTGTACCAAATGACGGAAGGTAATCATGTGCCAAAATAGGGGGCCCTTTAACAACACGTCCATTTGAAGATTCGCTTGGCCGTCCTTTCCAGCCTGAAATCCTGCAATGTCTCCGTATTGAAAACCCATAAAAGGGAGCCTCAAAAGAAAGTCGTTTTGGGGGGTGCCGTTTGGGGTGCTTTTCAACAGGAAACTTGGGGGTTGCACGCCCTGCTTTGAGAGGAAGCGGCACTTGAAACTGGATGTGTTGTTCTGTTTTTGCAGGGAACCAGCAAGTGTTCAGGAAACAATCGCCCATTTTGAGAGGCACCCCTGTGTCCCCTAGGCTGGTTATGGGTGGCTTCACGGACACGGGGGCCGTGCTCGGCACCGTGGAGCGTTTGGAGCTGGTTCAGCGCATGGCGTGATCGACCCACAAGCAGAAGCGGAAGTGACCGGCTAGCTCCCATTTAACGAGTGGCATTTGGGTCTTTTTGTTGAGGATACCTTGTTTAGGTTGGATTAAAGGGGAACATAAAGGAAGACGGGACAAACTCTTCGGAGCTTTGGACCAGCTTCAGAGCCCTGAGAGTCTTGACCATGAGTCACAGAGGCTGTGCTAATGTTGTGAACACGACACTCGCGCGATGGGAGCACATGTCGCTGGCTGGGGCAAACATTTAAGTCCTTGACTCCACCACTGCGCGGATCAACCTCGGGCCGGATGTTGGGGCACTGCATGCAACAGCTGCTAATGATGGCATGGCGCATGGTGCCAAGCGCGTGACCACAAGCAGTCATCGCACGAAAGCAGGGGCAGCGTCATGAGTTGGCCCAGGGTTGAGTCACCAGGATTCTGACCAGCCATGCCTGAAAGCGTAATTGGCAAACTCGAACTATTAGCCTTACTTGTCACAGTCGCTTTCCACTCCGGCCTCACATGCCCAATGCCTCTGCCAGGCAGACCCATTGAAAGACGACTTTCTGAAGCTGAACTGTGTGGTTCAGAGAGGCAGGCCCACGCCGAAGTCCCTTAATTCAGAATCTGACCTTGGAGATGCCGACTTTTTGAACAGGAATTCGAATTGGGTCGACATTTGGAGTCCTGACGCAGGGACGCTGCGCACCTTTGACGTGAAGCGCCTGGCTTGCCACGAGCTTACTGCGCAGAAGCAAAGGGCAGTGAAAACATTGGATTCCTCAAGCTGATATGGCCATGCAACGGTCACCAGGCGTTTTGCCGGTTTGTACAAGGTCGCTCGCGAGGTCTTGCAAATGAAGCCGCCCTCCCAAGGCCTAAAGGAGTTTGCCAGCAAGATCCAGCGCGAGGTGCAGGTTCGCATTCAGGCGGGCTTGCGTCAGTCGCCAGTAGTTTTTGCGCAAGGCTGGCAATTGCATCGGCGTTCAGATTTGCTCATAAAATGACAATGTTTAAAACAGGTCCCAAGTGCTCCCCCAAACGCAATTGGATGGTGGTGCCGCACCTCCATGTTCTTTGGCGCATTTGGATTCGTCATTGATTACTCTTGTTTGTTTTGTCGGTGTCGGGGCATGGTTGTGGAGAGTTGGGTGCTGAGCCCAGTGCTGGGTCCACTTGCTAGGACACCAAGGTTGTCGCAGGGATGGCCCACTAGGGAAATCAAGCGGGCGCCCTCGGCTGATCCCTCGGCTGAGGTTGCTGGCAGCCATGATGAGCAGCATCACATGGCAGACCTTTGGTCGCATTGGGAATCGCCACGGCCGTTTTTCCCTTCAATTTGTAGGGACTTGCACCCTCACTCATTTGGCCGCCAAAAGGTGGATAGCACAATTCCCTTTATTATGCGAGTACATGAAATGATTGAATTGTAACTTGTCCAATGAGCGAGTGTGCTTTCTTTCACCCAACTCCATCCGCTGCCAGACCGTTTCCCCTGCTTCCCCTGTTCACACAACTGACGTGCTCACGTTTCGCTCTGAGCTGCGATTCCATTGATGAGGCTGCGAGCAAGGACTATTCGTTCAAAGACCAGTCCTTCGGGGCACACGATTCTCATACTCATGGGAGGTGTGTCAAACACTCCAACAATTGAAAATGCCTGGAGGGACAGAGAGAGGGAGAGAGATATTTATGTTGGTAGCACTTATTAGGCTCCAGGAAACTTGCGAAATACCCTCCCTGATGCCCTGCCTGGAGTGTTGGCTGCACATTGCTCGTGCAAATCTGAGTGCGTATACGACTGTTTCATCGTTGCCTTTGGCAGGGCCCATATCGGAGCTATGTTCTCCGGCAGTAATTCTGCCATAGCATCGATGTGTGCACACAGGGCCACAGCGAGAGGCACTTCCCCCGGGCGGGTGGGACTTCTCTGGACCGGGGGACAGCCAAGTTGTTCTTGAACCACTACACGACGCAGACGGGCGAGATGCCCCGAGTGCGGTCGAGCAGGTGCGATATCGGAATTGATGATGAACCCTTTCGCGGAAATGGCAGCTTGGGGTTTCGGCAACCACCGTTGCGCAGCAGTAGCGTTGCGCAGGTTCCGCGCAACAGACGAGGACTGCCGAGACTGGGGAGATTTGGGCTAATGGTGCCGCAGTGGGTCCCTCACGTTCCCATGGTTTGTTCCCTGGTTGGCGTTTCATGCAGGCGGCCTCCCACTAATTGATCCACAAATCAGGTTCCAACATATTTTTGGGAATGGGGGGGCGGCTGCTATCACCTTTTTCCGAATAACAAAGGCGAGTAATACACAATATGTTCCGCACATCCAGAAAAGTGCAGGTCCAGGAATGCTGTCGGAAATGATTTGGAATAGCCAATTTCCCCCTACCCGGCCGTATTAGTTTCCACGGAAAACCACTTTCTTTCAGACCCACAGGGTTTTGAAACAGAAAAACTCAGTGGAGTCTGAACCATCAAAATCCCTTTGTTTAAAAAAAAAAAACATCCTCGACGTTTTGTGTGTGTGTGGCCTTTCGTTACTACGTGATTTTTGGGATCCTTCGTTGTCGTCATATCACCTGGGATTTAAGTGGGGTTCTGGGGCTGAACCACAAGACGCCCTATGATCCTCATCAGGCAGATGCAAGCCGTAAGCTCCGGTTGCGCCGGCGCCCAGTGCCAGGGCCGAGATGATCGCCCTCTGGAACGCCGGAGGTGCGCAGACCTTCGAACTGCTTCGGTTGGATGTCAGCGCGTGCCGCGCTGAAAGGTGCGCAGAAAAGGAAGGCCACCGCTTTGGCAGCCCCAAGCAATTTTTTGTCAGGGCAAGGGAAGCAAAGCGTTGCCAGGGATTCTTGGCGCAAGCCCATCGGCGCGAGAGAAGATGGCAAAGGCGGGGAGTTTGGAACATGTGGCAGAGGCTCGTAGAATTGTAGGTGTTGGCAAGCATCGAGCCCTTTCTTTGACACAGCCGTTGCTGTGCTTTGAAGCCAGTTCCTGCGCAGGCCATGGAAGGAAGGGGAAGAGGTCGGACAGATCGGAGAGGCACCAAGGGCGGGCCACCAGACCATGAAGCAATTGCTTCATCCTCCCCGTGGCTCGGGCCGAAACCATCACACGGTTGCTTGCACCATGCAAAGTTGGGGAAGGCGGATGCTGCACTGAAATTCTCTGCGCGTTGTCTGACTAATGCTATTTTCCGATGCTATCCTTTGCTTGCAGCAAGCCGTGCTGAAGCAGGACTAGACATGACAGGAACGCAGGCGAGCCTTGCGCTGCACCTTTTCGGCGGTTTCTCTGCGCAGGGGCTTCGACCGTGAAGGAGAAGGACCGCGCGAAGGCATGGGCCAAAAGAGGACGCATGAGATGTGGGTGCCCTAAATCGAACAGCTGAACTTGACATGCTCATGAGGGCACACTAGCTGTATCCGCGCCGCAGGAGCAAGCAACTCTTTTTCTAAGTTGTGTCTTTTCGGCGTCTTTCGAAAGAGTGCAGATGGCCATGTCTTCCCTTTGCCTTCCGGTGTTCCAGTCTCAGTGCCCAAAAGGGTTGCAACCAGCCCCCCACTGGAGAGTCCTGCACCTTGCCAGGAAAGGGCAAGAACCGCAGGGGCAGGAAGGGCGGAAGCAAAGGTGCGGAAGCCGTGGGGTAGGGGTCAGGATACCTGAAGCAATGCAAGGCTCCTGATATTGCACATGAACTTGGGGTGCCTAAATTTGTTCAATCGCGTAGTGAGACATGTGGTGCCATCACCTCGATCCTGGAAAGGCAGGGAGCGTACATCCATCAAGAGCACCTTGTCTATAAGTTTTGCACTGTTGGTGAGCTGGTGGTCTAATTAGGATTGGGGATCATTCTGTGTTGAACATGGTGTGCAGATGTTACCTCCTCCCCAGATAAAGTAGACGCAGGATTGAAAAGACCTGGTTGACAACCCATCGGCCTGAGGAGAGCACAGGGAGAAAATTGGCAGGTTGATTGGTTGATTCATTTGAGGTCAATATATTTGGACAACAAGCCTGAGCATGCCGCAAAATTGTATGAACCTAATACTGTTTGGTCACTTTGAGGAAGAATGGAAGAAGGAAGGAGGGGTTTAAGCTGCTACACATGGGATGCGCTTCCACCATCTCGACCTTTTAGCCTTGGCGCAGGCACTGCCCGAGACAGCCATCGCGAGGACTGAGAACTTGCTGCTCATTTGTTGGCATTTGGCAGTCCAGGGCATAGGAAAAATTGGGACGATGGTCCGAAGTGAAACAAGCAGGAGTTCGGGAAAGCTTCAGCAGAGATCGGAGAGTAGGGGCCTATATGCGCACTGATCTTTTTCTGCATGTTTGGACCCAAAGTGCCCGCTTTCTCTTAAACAGCTTTAGGAAGCTGCTAGGTGATGCGAAGGACTGCAAAGCCCTTTGCGCCCCTGACTGGAATGGTAGCATCGGTGAACAGGCTGATGCGCCCCTTCAGGAGGATGCGCCAGGCGAAGACCGGGATGACAAGGCGGGCCTCGCAACGTGTTCCCAAGTCCCTGTAATCCCTGTGCCTCCCCCGTCTCCGGGCACCTTGGCCTTGCGACAGGATTCCCGGGATGGCCTCGATGATCCTGTGGAGGGCTGGGATGATCCGTCCTTCTTTGACGAGGAGGCCGGCCTTTCTTGTGCATAGAGGCACTAAGTACCAAAAACCCTTGATTTTGGTTCACCAAATGAATGGCTCCACGACACCAAACCTTTACGGTTCGCAATGGACAATTGGGCATTTGCCCTCTCAGTGTGTCTGAACACCCTGAAGGGCAAGGATTTCTGTACTCCCGCGTCCGTGGGGTGACCGTGTAGTTTCCAGTCACCTTCCATTCAGTCGTGGCAGGTTCCTGAAAAATGCTTTAACAGGGGATGGAACCACGAATCACTTGACACCTCAGCTTTTTTTGTTTTTTGTAACGTATCGTTGTGTTCAATTGTGGCGGCTCATCGTCAGTCGCCCTGGGGCCTCTACATTCAGGTTGTTGTCTAAGGATTGCCCCATCAGCTTGATGAGTCAATTTGGGAAAATTTTAGGTTCACCTGTGTTTTTGTTGTTTCAATAAGCAAAACGGCTCATCCCAGCCCTCTTGGGAACGACCCCATTCCGTCAGAAGTTCCTCTTCAACTTCGGACGGCCTGCAATTTCGTACAGAGCGCTTTCCCACCAACAGATGTACCAGAAAAGGTCACGAATCTAGCAGGTTCATCCTTTATAGGGAAGACCTTCCGCAAGTGTGGCTGGGCACTTTGTTCACTTGCGCCGCAGGACTTTGTGGAACCCCGGCGCCCCCCAGGCAACAAAAAGGGCCCTGCCGGCGGCTCAAGGATTCCTCGAATGCCGCCAGCGAGCGCTCAAAGAATCGGGTTCCCATCACGCCCGTTGCAATACATGTTCGAACCCGCAAGACAATCATGTGAGTCGCCTTGTTTTGGACCCGTTGTTTCCCTTCGTATCATCTTGCCGTTCGGCGTTGAGGCGAAGAGCCGCTGGGACTCGCCAGAGGAGCCCCATGCTCTGCGATGTCCATGACAAATGAGACCGTGGTACCTTCCTGGCAACGGAGTGGTGGGCGAAAACATGCGAAACGTATGGTTCGTGCTTGTTTTGACGGGGTTGGAGTGGGAAAACATGCGCTGTAAAGCTCCATGGCCGCCAGGCCTGGGCTTTCGAGCACCACACAAATTTGTTTTTCGAGGTGTCAGCCTTCCCTGCTAGCAACTGGAGGATTACAACGGAAAATGCGGCGCATGTGGACTGACTTGAGCATGAGAGTTGTGTACATCTGAGAGCTTTCTGTTGCCGCTAGAGATTGCCGATGCGAAGCGGGCTGGCATGGCAGCGCTTGCTGGAGGAGGGCGGTGACTGAGCGGATGGCGAGAGACTGGGGAGATCCCAAACACAACGCAAAGACTGAGACAGACGGCCTCGCTGGCCATCCAAACCAGTCCAGCACAGCATGAAATGGTCCGTTGGAGCAAGACCTTTTCGCGTAGACAGCTTGTTGGTTGTCCTTCTGCCCACTTTCTGCCAAGGCCTCGGCCGGAGGGCTCGATTCTTGGGGGTGGCTGAAGTCTCCCCAAACTGGGGAGGTCTTTGGCGTGGCGAGCGCGGTTCGTTTCGAAGAGCCCACCAAAGCCACTTTCGGAACGCTTTGCCAGCCAGTCAGGCATCCTGTCCCAGGCTGCATAGAGGCGGCTGCATCGGAGTTTATTGGTGTTAGGGGCCATGGCGGAGAATGGAGAGAAAACAGCATGCGGTTTGCTGGCGGATGCATTGAATAAGCTTGACGGCTTGATTGATTTTGCTTTGGGTCGCGCATGGTCGCACAGCCAGTAGTTCTAGGACTCAGGTTCTGATTGTGATATTCAGGATTTCCTTTCAGGAGCGATTCGCTCCGCTTAGCTGCTTGGCCTGCGAGATTTATTTGCTTGCTCACTGCTTTGCTACATGAAGCAGGGGCGAGCAGTTACGAAGCTCAACACAGCTTGATGCAATGCAAGCAGCGCCTCAAAAGCTGGCCCAAACGTTGGATGTTCAACAATCATATCTGTGGTGGTTGCACCAGAGCAGGGAGTAGACTCGCAGTTCAGGAGTCTGTAGGAGCGACAGGCATAGGTGGGCATAGCTTGGGCCACGGACCACATGAAAGACAGCCATACATACTCGGATGTGATACTCGGTGCCGTGCAACCATGCGTGAGGCTCGCATTGCGCGGCTTATGGGGCTTGATTTGGTTGTGCCTGATCTTGGGTTCGCGCGGATTGTGCTTTCTACCCAACGCTGATTTGTTCGACTGCTGACCACTTGTGCTGGAGAAAGAGCACAGCAAAGGCTCGCAGACATGTTCCAGTGGGGCTACCAAGCCTGGAACTGCAAGGGCCCCTCTTCTGGAACACTACCTTCCTTTGCCCTGGTAGATGGTGATCGATCCCTTACCCCTTTCCGAAAGATTCACATCCTGGTGGAGAACCTCACGGGGCATGACTTCCAGCTGAAGCAGGCGGGGCTTGTTCGTTTTTTTGAGAAGCTCTTGGGGCTTCTCTGGTTGCCACTAGTGAATCACTTCGGTTTCTACCGCGTTTGCGGGTCCCCTTCTTCCCATGCCCCAAATGTTCCAACAACCCTCAAGTTGGTTTCCTTTTGATTGCATAGGTTTTGCAGTCACTGGCTTAACTATGAAGCAATGCCGGAAATACATCCAAACCTTTACTGCAGCTTCTCAAGACGCAGACAGGAGCCAACCGTACATGCGGCACTGGTCATACAAGCGATGTTCAAAAGACCGTTCTTAGACATTTTTCTCGAGTCCCGCCAGTTCAGCTCGTCAGGTCGTGAGCCCGGAAGGCGGGCCCCGCGGCTCCGCCCCGCAGGCGCGAAGCCCGATGTGTTCAGCCCGTCGTGGGCAGAAGCTTTGTCAGCTGAACTTCATGTCGGTTTTTGTTCCCGACTTCGGCTAGTGCGATCCAGGTGTTGGAACGAGCCTGCAAGCTCTCCTGGACAGGACCTGCTTTGTGTCGGTCTGCATTTGTTTGTGTTTGTCTGTGTGGCCCTGGTACAGCAGTGTTTGTCTCTCTCTCTCTCTCTCTTGTGTGTGTGTGTGCGTGCTTGCATGCGTGCGTGCCAGCTTGGAAGGATCAGCAGAAAGCAAGTCAGTCCGAGTGATGGGTTGCCCCCCCCCCCCCACCCCCCGGCCCGTGCCATCCCCTGAAAAACAGCAGCAGCTATACAGCATGCTGCTAGGTTTGAGTTTCACGGTGCTCCTGATTTGGCGCCAATCTCCATCGGAGTTGCGTGAGGAGAGAAGAATGGAGGTAGCTTGGAAGCAGCGAGTGGCTGTGAGGTTTGCTGCAAGCAGATGCACCCTATGGGGAGTGGAAAAGGTGTATGTGTAGTGTGATTAACGCTTAGCGGCTTCGTAATGCTGGCACAAAATCCCGGCCTTCCCATCAGATTTACATCAGGCATGTGTCTACCTCAAAATATTGCTGACGTTGCTGTTTTCCAGTTAGCTGGATCCACTCTTCTGTGTAGGGCCAGTCCTTTTTGGATATGAAAGTGCCGCCAGCATCGCAACAGCAATGCTGGAAGGGAGAAAAACGTAATTTAGGATGTGAGGAGCAAGGCAGGGAGGGACTCCTCTTCAGACTGACCAAAAAGGACACTTCGTCATTTGGTAGGACACTGCGATTTGTCCAATTTCGATGCGTCTAATTTCCTGACTGCTGGGGATCGTGAATGGAATGAGGGGGGGTGGGGGGTACTTCCCGCGATTGTCCCATTGAGCAGAAGGGAGTCTGGCAAGTTTCTTGCATTTGGTGGGGATCTTGTCGTTCGTACGCTGAGGCTGTGCTTTGGCCTTGGAGTTTCATGCGTCCAGGTGGGACATGTCGCCTGGCAAGCGCCTGATTTCATGTCTTGGGTAGATCATCCATGGTTGGTAGCAAACATAATTCAACTCTTGACTTCTCCCATTCGGGGAGCGAGACCTGTTAGCAAAACGTGGCGCTTGTACACGCAAGGTGAGAAACCGCCCGCAAGGTGGTACACATTTTGTTGAAGCCAGCTTCGGGTTTTTCCAAGGCCACGGCCCAACGAGGTTTGATTGTGACACCGTGTGCCGTACGCATCCGTACGCCGGGCTTAGTTTTCAACCACAGGTGGATCCCTGGCCCTGGCAGGAAGCGCTTCGTGTTGGCAGCGCGGCTTCCAGGCGTTCGGGATGTTGGCTGAGCTTTCCCAGCTGATTTAGAAGACCCTGATCAAGTAGGTGGTTCTTAAATGTATTTGTTAAGAAGCCCTGGGAGACCCAACCAGAATAGGTGAGCGTTTGCTAGGGCGAGGACAGATCATTGAGGCATGCAAGCTGGCAAGCATTGAAATTGCTTTCCACAGTCCAGTTCAAACGGTTCAAAGGGCTATGGCAAGTCGCATGGAAGTGAGTCCTTGAGCTGGGCGGGCCATGGCGGCCATGGTCCTTTGGCCCAGGCGCCTCCTGGTTCCCGAGCCGAGCTTCGCACGGCCGCAACCTCATCCGCCTGCCTGAAAATGTAAACTTCACCGAGGCCAAGGCCCTTTCTTGCCTTGGGAACTTGGGAACTTGCAAGAGCTTGGAAGGGCTTCCGGGATTCTGGGCCTAGGATTCAAATCACCAAACATGAATTTGGCTATCTCGCGATAGTTTGGTGTTGGCAGTGTTTGTCCCAGAGATGAGATGGGATGAGCCGCAAAATCATTAGAACACAATTGGTCTTGGAGTTGGTGCTCGCTTGGGGCCGTTATTCTGCTGAGAAGAATGCCTCCGTCAAACAGTGGATCAAGTCGGACCATGATATCAATTGGAATCACAGCTCTCGCGCTGCCGCCCAATCAGCGAAAAGTGCAGGCGGCACGATTTCCGGCATCAAGTTCAGCGCCTTTGTCAAGGACTAGCTGCCGGAGAGGTTGTTGCATGGGCCCCTGCAAACCGAGCGGGCGCTCAAGCAGGTCATGGCAGCATGGTAGCAGTCGAGGGCCAATGTCCAGCGGCATAAGTGACTTCGTCTGAACAACGTAAATTAGGCCTTGGCTGCTGCAACGGGAAATCCCATCAATTTTGGGGCCCCAAATTGCTTCATGTTAACTTATATAAAAGTCATTGTAAAACTCAGGGGTGCAACTGGCGCAGTCGCGTCCGGCCGTTCAGACTTGTTTATCTTCATGCCCTGCTTCAAAGAAGCATCGCACTCAAGAGGCAAAGCGAATGCGAAGGAAAGCTTGAGCTCAGGACATCCCGGGGCTGCCAGGGTGGTCCAAACTCATCGAGCTTAAGGGGAGTGCCCTCAAAATGGTTGGGATATGTCCCCCCCCATGTCCACAAAAAACCGCACCCGTGTAACAACAACTCAGCTTTCTCAAGAAAGCAAGCGGGCCTAGCCGCCGCACAAGTCCTGCCAGCTTGCCCCAAAGCCAACATTCACTTCTTGTTCGGAACCCAGGTTTCCAAATGTGGATGGTGGATTTGTTTAATGATGCCGGACCTGGGGCCTTGCTTCTTTTCCTGCCTTTTCTCGCTTGGCTGTTGTGAAGTCTGCGGCAGCCTCATGTTTGTGCTCCAGTGGGGCCCGATCAATGGTCTCTTGGAAGGTTCCTTGCAGGAGTTGCCGGCAAACCTCAGCCTGGCGCGTGCCTTACAGGAGGCTTGGCCTCGCCTGGGATCCATCCACTTTCCTCCGGTTAGCGTGAAAGTAGGGGGCATGCAAGGAACCTTTGCCTCGGGGTGAGATGGGTGAGCCTTGCTCCGACAGGCGCCAGACCTGGAAAAGCACTGTGTGAGGGATGGGTGCGAGTGGTTGGCGGTTCGCAGCACTGAGAAGGCTGGACCGTCCGGAAAGCCATGGTTGATTGAACCATGACAGGAAGATGTGTGTGTGGGCAGAACGCGGTTCCCTTGCTCAGTGGCATGCTTGTGCAGGATTCTATATATTGTTTGTTTGCGAGGAGGACTTAGTATCCAGAATTCGCAATTTTGCGGCCTGAAACTCCGTCCGCCTTGGGTTTTGGTCTGCCCCTGTGCCGGCACGTTGTGTGGAAGGTGCTCGAGATGCGGGTTCGCCTTCTTCCGCCGGAAGAGCAGGCCAGGATGGGCACGTATCCGCGAAGGGAGGACCTTGGCCAATCTTGTTGCTGCCTTGCTGGCTGTCAGGGAGCAATTGATCCTGGCTGGCCGATTTGCAATTCACTTCAAGCAGCAAATCAGTAAATGACGAAACTTGCAGAGCACCCAACAGCTCTCCTCTCTGAGCTGCAGGTGCATGATTCCCGTTTTTCATTTACCTCGTTCATACCCTTGATTCCCTGAAGGCCAACCCACTTTGATCAGGCGTGTGCCGTTTGCGGTATTCAAAAAGGATCTGTCTACCCAAAATTATGTGGCTCGTCTGGTTCGCTTCGGCCATTTTTCCTGAGGAGGTTCCCGCGGCCTCGGAGCGAACGGAGCAGCTTCCAGCAGAGCTGCTGGAGAGGGACGAGGCAGCTGCGCTTTGAAACGTGTTGGCTCTTGTTTTTGGAGCGACGGTGACCTTCGAAGGGCCCTCGCATGTTCTTTTACGCTGGGTCCCGAAAAAGCTCCTACGTCCCAAGAGCGGCGGGACCCGCCTCTGGAATCTGAACTGACAAGTCTTGTGACGCACTGGCTTGCTCCCTGAGTCAAGAGAAGCAGGCCCACCGTGGCTGCCCATTTCAGCCTACATGACTCCTTGGAATTTGGGCTTTTATTGAGATGACGAAAAACTTGGAAGTGCAGGGCCCCAAGTTCTTCTGGAAGAAATGATATTAAGGTTTCAAAGTCCATCACATATTCAACAATTCACATCGATCGAACGGCTCGCGCTCGTTCAGTGCAAGGCATCGCGTTTTGTTGGACTGGCTCAGTTTCAGTATCGCTGCAAGACAAGCAGCCTAACTTACGCACGCTCAAGAAATGGTGCTTTGGCTGGCTCGCTTTTCTCATATGATTGCCGCCTTGTGCGTAGACACTGGCTTTTCCAGTGGGGAGCCCCAGATTGCAGCAAACAAGCCCAAACAAAGCCACCTCACAGCCCAACTCAAGCAACTCCACCCTGTCCCCACTGCCGGTGCTCTGTTACACGGTGCCTGGGCCAACGCCATTGCGGCTAAGGCGCAGGGGCGGGAGGGCTTGGGAGAAGCGCTGGCACGGTCCTGCAAAATTCCACGCGAGGCTTTCAACCCACTGCATGTTCCAACTACGTTTGTTTACTTCGGAGCTTTTGTTGTTGTCTCCATCATGGAAGCCAACTCGGTTGGACTCGTGCGCGGCGCTCTGAATCTGTTGGCTTGTATTCAGCATATTTACGGCATGCTTGCATTGCAACCACTGGACTTCTGAGCTGTGTATGACGACTGGGTGGTCTTTTTACGCAAGCGACAAGACCTCCCCGACGCGGTCTCCGGAGCTTTGTGAGGCCGGCGGATGCCGCCGCAGGCCATCTCTTTGGATGTGCCGGTGGAGCTCATCAAGGAGCTCGCAGGGGCGAGGGGTGCAAATAACAACATGGCTGTGTCCTCAAACAGGCCCCCCAAAACCTGGTGTTTGTTTTTGGTGCCCCTTTAAAGCAACCCCGAAAGAGTGCTTCAAATGTGTGCCACCTGCTTTCAGGTTCCACATGGTTTTTGGGAGGCACTAGTGCTGGATTTGACCCAAGTTTTGCTTTTATTTGAAATTTGCGCTGGGTCCTTGTCCAAAGCTGGAAAACAGCCGAAGATACCAAATCAATGCTGAGTGGGAATGCGGCGAAACGAGCTGGACCTAGTTGGAGGTTGGTTGCACAGCAAGCCAAAGAAAATTACTGGCATTTGGAAGGGCGCAACTTACTCGCCACATTGCTCCCAAGCCGTGAGCTAGCAGCTAGCTGCTTCCAAGGTTAGCGCGTTCGACCGTCAAACATTTCAACAAAGGTTGGCCAGCATCATGCGTGGGACCATGCTCCCCAACTCGTGCGTTTAGAAGGCCTAGGGGTCGGTTAAAACTGCAAGGCAGGCCCCTTCCGGGAAATTGATCTTTTAAAATTGGGACTGGCGTGGCTGGTGGTTCGGGGCCTTGAAATTTGCTGCATGTCAACTATATCCTGGGCCTATGCATGTCGGCAATCTCAGTCAGGGCGGATTGGGTGGCTGGCTTGCCATGTTGCATTTGCCCGACACCTCCCCAGAACCTCCAGCTGAGATGAGCGTTTTTTTCTTGCAGGATCCGCGGTCGTGGACAGTGGAGGACATCAGCATTTGGCTGCAGTGGTTGGGCATTGGCCCGAACCCCAGGCCCTACTGGTAACACCTGCAGGGTCAATCAGCTGTGATTTTGTTGAGGGTGCCCTCTTCATCTTTTCTCTTTTTGGGGTCGCATGGGTCACATTGAAAACAGCAAAGGGAAACCACCCATGTTTGAAGTCCCCTATTTGACAAATGCCCATCATGGGACCCATCACCTGGAAGTAGGAGGTAATCATTCGTCGGGTTCCATGACTGGGCATTGGGCAGGTCGAGAGCAAAACAAATCAAAAGGACATCCACACCGATTTAAATTGAACCACAAACCACCAGAAACAAGCCTCACGCGCACACACACACACACCCACCCACCCACGCGCGCTCACGCGCGCGCGCACGCGCACGCACACGCACACGCACACGCACACGCGCACGCGCACGCGCACGCGCACACGCACACGCACACGCGCACACGCACACGCACACGCACACACAGAGAGAGAGAGAGAGAGACAGAGAGAGAGAGAGAGAGAGAGAGAGAGACAGAGAGAGACACACACAGAGAGACACACACAGAGAGACACACAGAGAGAGACACACCGAGAGAGACACACAGAGAGACACAGAGAGAGAGAGACACACAGAGAGAGACACACACAGAGAGACACACAGAGAGAGACACACAGAGAGAGACACACAGAGAGAGACACACAGAGAGAGACACACAGAGAGAGACACACAGAGAGAGACACACAGAGAGAGACACACAGAGAGAGACACACAGAGAGAGACACACAGAGAGAGACACACAGAGAGAGACACACAGAGAGAGACACACAGAGAGAGACAGAGACACACACACACACACACACAGAGACACACACTTAAACTCCAAATGGAAGAGTGCTAATCTTTCGAGTACAACTGATGAGTCTCGAGTACAACTGATGAGTCTCGAGTGGGTTCGGCTTGCAGTCACTTGGCTCCCGTCTAGCAGCGAACACGTTACCCGAAAGAACAAGAAGCACAAACAGCGCCGCAACCAAGGGGGCCAAAAGGACTTTCAGAATCACTTGCAGGTACAGGAGTTTGCGTCCAAACTCCCATCCGGCTCATTCTCACAGCTTCGTTGGCACGGTAGAGAATGAGCTGCCGTGCCCCCTGCGCTGAAATGTGGTGGCAGGGTATTCTGCCACTCCGCACACACACGCCCCTCAAAGAGGGGCGAGTACCACTTTTTCGGGGGGAGAAAAAAAGAAAAAAACACGCGCCCCAAAACCGGGCGAAGACCCCAACAGAAAACAAACGGAGCAAGGGAGCCCAAAAGAAACAGAAAGGCCCCAGGTTGGGTCTCCGCGGGCAAAACCCCAAACAAGAAACAAGAACAACGGGGAAGCCAGGTTTCGGGTCTCCGAGGGCAACAACCCCAAACAGCGCAAAAACGACCTAGACCTTGTAGACGAAAGGGGCCGCGAAGGCAAAGAGGCAGAAGAGGAACAGGCCATCCCTAACCGGGCGAACAGGAAGTACAAGAGATAGCCCAGAGAGGGAAAGAAAAAGAAAGGAAAGAAAAGAAAGGGACGAAAGAGAGAAAGAAAGAGAGAGAGAGAGAGAGACAGACACAGAAAGAGAGAGAGAAAGAGAGAGAGAGAGAGAAGCGTATTTAGGGCGTCGCAACCGCCCGGGGGAAAAAGAAAGGAGCAGGGTGCGTATTTAGGGCGCCGCATCCCGCCCGGGAAGAAGGAACAAGAAGCAGAAGGCAAGGAGACAAAAAGGAGAAAAGAAGGAAGAAGGAAGAAGGAAGAGGAAGAGGGAAGTAGTAGTATGCGTTTTTAGGGCGACGCATCCCGCCCAGACAGGAACAGAGGATGAAGACCAAGGCTCGCGGAGAAAGACGTCGAATCCCACACAGGGGCCAAGAGGACGGACCCGAAGTAGCAACGGAAGGGGAAGAAGACGTCAAGCCAAACTACGTGAGGAAGAAGAGGAGTAGGAACAGGAAGACAGACGCGAAGACGAAGACGAGGAAAAAGGTGAACAACGCGAGGACAACCAGGCCATCCCTAAGCGGGCGAACAGGAGCGGGACGAACGCGCGGGTCACGAAAGGCAGCAAAAAGGGAACGGGAGGAAGGAGAAGCCATCCCTAAGCGGGCGAAGGACCAGAAGACGGGCACGCGGAAGAAGAAGGCGAGAAAAAAGGGGAACGTAGGGTGAGACGTCGCTATGGTCTGACCGCTGTCTTCCCTTTAGTGAAACCTCGTTCCTGGTTAAATGTGAAATTCCGCCGTTCTATGATCAGCACGTTGAGGTCAAATTTTCCGACAGAGCCGGCCCGGGGTCACGCAATGGGTACACCCGAGGATTCCCCACGAATGGGGTGTACACACTTAAACTCCAAATGGAGAGTGCTAATCTTTCGAGTACAACTGATGAGTCTCGAGTACAACTGATGAGTCTCGAGTGGGTTCGGCTTGCAGTCACTTGGCTTCCGTCTAGCAGCGAACACGTTACCCGAAAGAACAAGAAGCACAAACAGCGCCGCAACCAAGGGGGCCAAAAGGACTTTCAGAATCACTTGCAGGTACAGGAGTTTGCGTCCAAACTCCCTTCCGGCTCATTCTCACAGCTTCGTTGGCACGGCTAGAGAATGAGCTGCCGTGCCCCCTGCGCGAAACGGTGGTGGACAGGGTATTCTGCCACTCCGCACACACACACAGAGACACACACACACAGAGACACACACACGCAGAGACACACACACAGAGACACACACACACACACAGAGACACACACAGAGACACACACACAGAGACACACACACAGAGACACACACAGAGACACACACACAGAGACACACACACAAACACACACACACACACAGAGACACACACACACAGAGACACACACACACAGAGACACACAGACACACACACACACAGAGACACACACACACAGAGACACACACACGCAGAGACACACACACAGAGACACACACACACAGAGACACACACACAGAGACACACACACACACAGAGACACACACACAGAGACACACACA